TTGAAGATCAAGCTTTGTTAAGTACAGGCAGCTGTATCTCACAATAATTGAGAAGTAGGAAATCCCGAGTACAACTATCTATGCAAACCTAGAGATGTAGTCACCTCCTCCAGGGCTCACACAGTAGCCAATCCTACTGGATACAAAAAGAGCAACCTCTCAGTCATTTTGTTGCCAGATACCATAGGTTTCAGCCATACCTTACTGCTTAACTTCTAGATCATGGGTCTTCAGACTTGGCCCTTTTATAACTTGTGAGCTTCAACTCCCAGAATTCCTTAGCCAGGCATGCTGGCTGAGGACTTCTGGGAGTTGAAGTCCACAAGTCATAAAAGGGCCAAGTTTGAAGACCCCTGTTCTAGATGAAGCCTTTGGGAGAAGTCATCCCTTGGGAAAGGGATGACTATTCTGGTGTTATATCAGCATAGTTATATATCTCCCATTGTCATGCACAAGAGATTCAGTAGCAGTCTTCACCTGGAGGCTATTAAAAGTCTCTACAAGGAGAAACAGGATTAGAATTTTACAGATTGGCTATGAATTCAAAGTTTGACAATTCAAAGACAGTCAATTCTTTCGTCTGAATGGGGCAATGCTTCCCCATATGGAGTTAGCCCACAATTATGGGGTCCTTCTCTGGAACAGAAGGTGGAGGCTATTGTCCTAAAAGCCTCTGGATAATTACATCTTGTGCAGGAGCTGCACTGGCTGCCACTTTGCTTGTAAGTGTAATTTAAGATGCTTGGATGCATTCACAGCCTAGATATCATGGATTATCTTCTCCAGCTTGAATCTGCCTAAGTTGAATCTACATACACTCTAAGCTCAGCCTTCTCACTGATGCCTCTCCCACCGGAACTGTTTATTCCTGGATATCTAGGCCACACCCTCTTACTACTTTTTTTTCCAGAGAGATATTAAAACAGACTTTTCACCTGGACATGAGTAAGATTATTCTACTATTAATGGTGGTCCATTAAAATGATTGGTTATAATTGATTTTTGCTTTTAATCACCCAATATTAATACCATAAGCCACTCAAAGACTCCAGAAATAAAACATGTAAGTTGAATACATGAATGAAAGAAGTCACAAAATGATGCATTCTAGGAAAGGGAGGAAGATGGGGAAAGGTATCCCTCCTCCAGTTTTTTTAAAAAAGCAACTGCAGCACAAAATGAAGGAAGACAAACTTTGCTGCTAATGTCACAGACCTAACAGCAAGCTCTTACTAGTGAATATCAAAAAGCACAGATTTTTCAACTCACCCTGGGTTGAAAAATTTGTGCTTTTTAATACTCACAAATTTCATACCATCTCTATATTTTAATAAATAAAGCCAAAAGTTAAGTAAACAGGATCAACCATGTCAAAATCTGCCTAGGACAGCATGAAAACATTCAAGGGGGAAAAAGCAACCTAAAATTTTCCCTCAGAAAGGAGAAAACAGCTTTGGTACAAAACGACGTTAAGATACTGTTGAGTTCTAAAGCTACATGAGGGTCAGCTGGGGGGGAGAGAAAACAGCAACCCTCTGTATTTCTTACTTTTGGTTCTGTAATCCTGACATTCACCCTGCTCTCTCAAAGCGTTATTTCTACACATAAGCATTTTAGGCCTGCAGAAACTAGACAATTTTGCTTTTTATAAAAGATCATTTTACTTCGTTTCGGGAACATGCTAAAAGATTTCTGAAGGTTTGGTGCCCACGGCAGTTGGCAGCTGCAAACATCCGACTGAAAGCCCCCGTCTGCTGCTTCACAGCTTCCAGTCGAGGGTGTTTACAATCGCTCACTGTCAACAGCAATATTCATTCCTTGGTTGTTGTTTTCTCATTAACCTACAACTAGATCCAGGCAGGTTGACTTAAGAGAATCCTCATCATCACCTCCGCTTCAGGTTGCCATACCACTGGAGCGGTTTCCAAAATTTCCATCTGCAGAAATCTACGTAATCAATACGATGCAACAGGCAAGTATCCCAAGTATAGGATTCCCACTGAGTTAAAAGATGCGATGAGTAATATATTCAGCTGCTCCTTAAGATTAGCCTGCTTCAAGAAAAACAGTACTCACTCTACCCAACCTGGACCAATAGTTCCAAAAATATCTAATGAGCTAACAGATACTGTAACATCTCCATTAATTTTTAAATATATTTTATACTCACAAAAGCTTTGCCATAACCCTAATGTATATTCAGAATATTAAACCTGGATTACTGTGAACAATCCTAATTCTCCTTTTGAAGTCAACTTGTAAGCACTGCTTAAAGACTGCTTTGTAAGTATTTATTGTTGTAACAATTACAATGAATAAGAGTGTTAAAATAAAGGCATTTGAAAGATACTGAGCCATTCTCCTCCTCTATCGGTAAAATATTCACAGCAGCGAAAGTTGATACACAAAAATGTTTTAGTTATTTGAAATACATAGACTTACAGGGTTTTTTGCTTCAACTGATAAATGTAAAGGATCCCCATAAATCACCCCTTGGAAAAGACAAGGTTAGATTTCTCTGCACCAAGGTTAAGAAAACTTGTCCTTCAAGAGCAGATGAAAACAAGCTAAATTGCACTAGAAATTGATTCCTTTTATTCACCACTAAAGTCAAAGCTATTAAAGCCTCCCAGGGAAAAGCACATTTTCTCAATGAATCAAGTTGCTAAGGGAAACAAAGCAAACCTCCAGTGCTATGCATTCCAGGCGTTCTTGGTTCTTGGCATCCTGGAAAAGGATCAACTTTCTATCTTACAACAGATTTCAAACTCGCTTTGGGATTCTAGTTGTAGTATCCAATTTGGTGTAACAATCTACACAGAATATGGAGGACACATCTCATTCTGTGTTATAAGCCTGAAAAACACCCAGAAGCTTTAAAAGCATTAAAGGAGATGAAATAAATAAATAAATAAAATGCTATGCTGTAAGGAATACCATCAGCAGGTTTTTCTACTTTATACTTCCTCACAAAGATTAGCCTTTGTTCCTACAAGCATATCATTTCTAATTTGCTGGGCGGGGGGAGGGAAACCCCATTAGAACTCATTAGCTGAAGATCACCATGTCAACAATGCCCCATTTCATTTTTTACATATATGGTTCCTCTCTGACGTCAAACAGATTATATCTGTTCCAAAGTCAGTAAAAGGTTATGTCTAAAGTGTTTCAGTTTTCAGCATATAATTGGAGTTCCATTATGCAGGACAACGGTATAATAATATGCAATGTTTTCCTGCACCGTTGACTTTAATCAATGAACTTTGTTGTTTTTGTTAAAGTTTGTAAATGCTGTCTCAGCATTTCAGTATTTTAGACAAACAAAAGTATTCATTTTGGAGATGGCTGTCAAAGAGTTCCACCCTCAGCAAGCAATTCATATATAAAAAATTAATGGCTTTGCAACTATTCCTATCTCAGAAAAGAAAGCAAATAAATTATTTGTCAAATGAATGGGAGGGCAATTCTAATAAAGAAATTAGAATGCAATACAAACTGCTTTAATACAGATGAATTCAATTGCTACCACAATCAAACACTCCTGATAAAAACACGTCTTTTTCCAAATTTTCATTTAAATTAATCTACGGAAGCTAATCCATGGCCAGAATCCAAAGACTAAATAAATCAAACTGATGTTTGGACTAATTTTCATTCAGACCCTTGTATCATGTAGACAGCTGGTTTTGAAAGACAGGTAAGTTTCAACAACTTCCTTTTTAACATACAAGAACATTTCTAATCCTGATCAATATGACCAGAGCAGAATTAAGAGATTATTTTTTTTAAAAAAATGCAATGAAGGGGTAACACTTTCAAAGCTTTAATAAAGGTCCTTATGAGTTGAGTTTAATTTCATTAACTCTTAGGGACTTCACAGACACATCCAAATAGTTACTTGGGCAACAATTCAGAAGAGATTTACAACTGCTTTTTTCCAGCGTGTCTTTTCAATGCCCCAATCTACCGTAACCTACAATATCTGTGGTATGCCTGGTATCTTTGTAGATCAAGGTACTAACTAGGGCCAGCCCTGCTTAGTTTCCCAGTCCAAACTAGGCCATTCAACAATTATGCCATTTGCTGAGACCTTCCCAAATACCAGAGGCATTAAACTGTATCATGTCCTTGCTCTAAATATTTTGGAGAAGTTTTTTAAACCTAAAAGAGAGAGAATGAATTTCCCAAAAGCTGTCAGTTTACATTCTAGTAGATCACTTTTTTTCTGTCTCAACAGATAGTTGCACCAAGCTGACTTTGTCTGGGCTAGGAAGCTAAAAAAAGGTCAGGCTGTTTTGAAGCTGGACAGGACACCACCACAGAATTCCACAACTCTATGGTCAAGTCAGAAGATACTCCAACAGAAAGCAATAACAAACAATTTATATAATGTAACTTTAAAAAATTGTATGCCATGTCCACGTAATTATGGGGAATCAAGCACCACCTAGGTAAAACCCAGAATTTTTACACTTTTCTGATTTTGATAAATATTACTGTTGGGAAAAAACAACTTTCCCAAAACAGTCATATGGATTATTATAATCAACTGGATTATCAGTGTCCTTTCATAGAAAATATTTCATTCCTTTCATATAAATGCTCCCCAGTTAAAAATGTTTTTAATACTGGCAAGTTCATCACTGGGAGACTAATTCTATGTTTTGTTTTAATGTTCCTCAAACTATTCAGTATTTTCCACTGAAAGATTTCTGGAAATGGGAATATTACTGTCCATGATCAATATATGCCATACAGTATCTTAATTAACTATGCATTTGCACTCTTCAATTCTTATTTTCTGAAATTAATTCCATAATGTTCACAGGTAGATATTCCAAAATAGAACACAGAGTGTGGGACATGGGAAACATGGAGCGACACCTGTTTTGTTGAGTGCTAGAACATTAATTAAACCCCACAATAATCTAAATGAGCAAAATATATTAGTTTACCTGGCTGAATTATCTAGTTGTTAAAAAAATGGAATTCTTACTTACAAAAATCCAATCTTCTCATTTGAACACCTAAGACACTTCATACATTTTTAGGATCACTGTTCTTATCAGCCAACCTCCTAAAAATCAAATTAAGAATAGTGAAATATTCATTACTTTCATGAGATTCAGAATCTTGCAGCATTATTGAATTAAGTTTTCCTAATAAAGCAAAGAAAATAGTAATGGACAAGAGAACAATATTTGCTAAATATTGTGAAAATAAATGTACTCCCAACATTACTTGTGTTAAACAATCTTAACAAGCTAGCCTTACTTTTGTAATTTAGAAATTACAAAATAAGTCAAAAAGCTATTATTTAGACATTGAGTTAAACCATGAAATAAATTTGCATGATTTTTTTCCAGGTTAAGTTGTAATAAGAGGCTACATGAGGGCTAAAATTTCAATTTCAATCTTAAATTTAGGATATTATATTAAATCAAACTCTGTGGATTACAAATAAACCACATATAAAATAAATCATAGCTTTGCATGCTGTGTTATATGAGCCTAGGCCTTATACAGGTAGCCCTAAATATACGAACACAATTGAGTCCAAATTTTCTGTTGCTAAGCAAGGCAATTAAGTTAATTTTGTCCCATGTTATAACCTTTTTGCCACACTTGTTAAGTCAATCACTGCACTTGTTAACTGAATTGTATAGTCAAGTAAATCTGGCTTGACTTTGCTTGTCAGAGACAGCTGGGGAGGTTGCAAATGATAATCACATGACCCCAGGATGCAACTGTAATAAGTACATGCCAGTTGTCAAATGTCTGAATTTTGATCATGTGATCATGGGGATCCTGCAATAATGAAGTGTGAAAACCAGTTATAAGTGATTTTTTTCAGTGTCACTCTAACTTCAATTATTAAATGAATGGCTGTAAGTCAAGGACTACCTGTACAAACCTGATTACATGCAATTTAATGTCATGATATCAAATCCATTCTCCATACACCAGTACAGAAATATTATAGTGAATATGAATTGTTTTATGAACCACAGCAGAATCGGAGACACTTATTTGGAAGTAAACATCATTGAACTAAATTGGATTTACTTTTTAATAAATCTGCACTGAACAGAGATATGAAGTCATTTTTCAAATTCTAGAGAACAGACAATAGAAATTATTTAATATGCTGGATCTTCATAGTCTTCAAAATAAAATTCCAATGTAATTATATTATAGAAGATTGACTACTTATTAGAAAACTCTGTTTCCACTATGGCTTTCCAGAACTTTCTTCTAATTGCCTTTATATCTAAACATCTGCCTATCCCAGGTCTTTGGGAAGGATTCAATAAGTGGCTAAAATGCCAAATCCAGTCTAGACATCTGGCTGTGTGACAAACCATTATAACTGGCACTTTTAACACCATCAAACAGTGGCCTATCCGAGGTCTTTAGACTGCCAAATCCAGTCTAAATATCTGGCTGACTATGTGACAAGCCATAGTAGCTACTGTCTTAGTAAACTAAGTCAATATTTATCATTGCAGTCATTATCAGGTTTTTTTTTTTAAAAAAATGGAGTGTTTATGTTTTTGGAGTATTTTGTAACTTATGCAGGAAGACATATTGGAAAGGAAAAAATACTCCTCACTGAAGAATATTCTAAGGTGGAGTATTTATTGTAAGCCCCCTTTAACAGAAAGGACTCCTCTTAGTTGCAATTTTGCACACTATAGAGAAAAGCTTCAGGAGAAACATGAGCCTATAGCTAACAGCCTAGACATTTTAATAGTTCATTAACTAAACCCCCATTTTGAAGCACTGACAATATATTTGCAAGGTCACGTACAGTATTTCAAATTCTGTTAATATATTACATCTTTATTCTGGTGCACCTGCAAGTTAACTCTTACTAGAAGCTACATTATTAGCATGTGGGAAATGTTTTAAACAAACTTAAAGCAATTCATATACAAAATCTTGCATGAGAGGAAAAGTAACCCAGGAATTATTTTTTAGGTCCTGTTACACAATAACTGAAATGCACATTGTGGTACAATTTGCAGCTTTAAAATCTGTAGAAGCTTTACTATGTAATTACCCCAGGATGCTGTAGTATCTACAGAATTCTGATTGCTGCTCCCACATGTCACATTTTGTAGCTGTGAACTGTACTGGAGCATAAGCATTTACCTTAAAAGCAAACAAACACTTCCAAGTTATCCATTTCATAGTCTTCAACCAAGACTATAAAATGTTGTTTAAGTGTTTATCTTTAACAGAGGAAAATGAAAAGGACAGAATGGGCTGTGTTTAGATTAGTCAGCTTTCTTGATTCGTATACTTTTCTCTGGAGGGTAGAATATAAAATATATCCAGATTCTCCCTCCAAAGGCAAAAAACCTACTTTAAGCTGTCAGGTTTTAAAAGATTTGGGCTTAGTTCATTTATTTACACCTCTGCTGAATTCACATATCTTGCCAAGTTATATTATTTGCTTAGTTTTGATTCACTTTTGCAAAATTTAGCTGCTATAATTTTAAACTATGATGTATGGCTTAGCGTATAGTCAACAAGGCGGCACTTGTAAAATTATTTATAATATCCATAAGTCTCAAAACTCAAAAACCAATTAAAATGGTCAACATAGTACAACTTAGCTGAATCTTGTAAGTTCTCATAACTCCTCACTTTTTTTAAGTTTCCAAAATGACTACAAATAATGTATACATGGAATTTTGAAAGTAACTTAGTTCATTAGTCAGAGAAACAATCTATTCTACAACCATGAAACTATGAACTCATAATGCTAACCTCCAAAAGTCTATTGGAAAGTCCCATCGTGTTCTAGAGGTTTTATTTATACCAAGATTTAGCTTCTTTTGCTTTTCAAACAAAACACAACAAAAGTTCCCATGTCTTAAAGTCAAAGCATTGAAGTAAATATTACAATCTATCCTTCAATTTTACTGATCACAGCAGCCAATAAGTAACATATACATTTTGAGGGACCATTGACCTACTTCACAACTAGGACATAAGCCCCTACTCTTACTGATGTCAACCAATGCTCTTACTTATGCATTTATATGATGAGCACTGTATTGTGGGATGAGATTTTATCTATCTCTAGTTTTGGTGTCTTAAGTATCTATGTTTACCATATTTACATTAAATTACAATTACCTTAAGGCAGTGTTTCCCAGACTTGACAATTTTAAGGCATGAGGACTTCAACTCCCAGAATTCCACAGCCAGCAACGCTGGCTGTGGAATTCTGGGAGTTGAAGTCCACATGCCTTAAAATTGTCAAGTTTGGGAAACACTGCCTTAAGGCAAGGATAAAGCTCTAATCTGCCAAATATAACTAGAATTTTGGGAGAAAATCTTCAAAATCTCTATAGTTTACTTTTACTGGCTAAATAAATGTAGAACCCCAGTATCTCTTACCCAAAATTTCTTATTTTCAACTATACTGGCAAATTAACATGAATGAGAAGCACAAGCAATAAGCACCTTAATAATTTAACCACTGGCATTCTATTACAAACAAAAAGGATACAAAATATAGTTATTCAAAAACAATTATGTCCCACAGTGAGAAAGAGGCAAGTTCCAGATGCCGAGACAAAAAGTTCTGCCAATTAACTACTACCGTGTTAATTGCTCCAGTAACTATCCTTCCCAATACAATAGTTTATGTACGTTCATATACATTATTTTTGGAAAGCCAACTGTATATAAAAAGTATCCTTGATATGAATGTTTTGGAACTAAGGAAAGTAGATGAATATTCTTGTAATATTTTCAGCTCTGTACGAATATTTGAAATAAAGGGTAGCATTTAGCATAATTGTTTTCCTATGTTTCTGTAGTATTTTAACCTAACTTGTTTCAAAATATGAAACTAGGCGTGCCAAGAAAATAAATGCAAAGAATTATAGATCAAGAAATGTTTTAAGAATATGTTCTCCGCTGTACAAGACAGTACATTCAAGGTTATCCATCTAACTATTGGAAACCGCTTCAGGAAACATAAAAAGCTGTTTAATCAGAAAAGAATTTCCACCCTTTTCCTAAGTAGAAGCCACACCCTCCAACTAATGACAGAAAAGCATTTTGAATTAGAACTCTACAAGTGCCTTGCCTCAGGCAAAGCAAGTCTCTCCTATTTTCAGAAAAGAAAAGAAACTCTTGCTCAGTAAGTAGCAATTAGGCTGCAGGATTTATATGCTGAACACGGTCAAATGGAAGAACACCAGATCAGTGGACCATAGCTTTAGTGCACTGAGTATGATTAACAGAATGAGCCTTCAAAGGTCAATTAAATGTCACCACTTTTGAGGGGGAAAGTCTTCTGAAATTTGGTCAGGGTGTAGTACTGTGGTACAGGCAAACATCTTAATTCTAGTATTTCATAGGAGTTATGTGAACCCCAATATCTGTATGTACAGACATAATGGATATCTATTTCCTGAAAAAGAATGGATATTTATACGAGTGGGCAGAATGGTGTTAGTGCTATTAGTTATGTTTAATCAAGTAAAGCAAGGTATTTTCCCCTAGTTTAGAACAGCTTCAATGGGATGAAATATTTCTTTCCCGAGGTTTTTAACAGAATATTATGGGATAAAGTTGTGATGATAAATTTCTTGAGAATCCTGATGGGGGGGGCACAGAAAATACTGTCAACTTCATTTGAAAAATGAAAAGTTTCTGCAAAACATTTTAGTCTTAGTCAAACAATTTTGCAAAGTTTTAAACTTATTCCAGAGATATTATTATAGCCCAATATTTCCAATACCCCCAAACAGTAGAGATAATATTTACAATATGCTCTAAGTAATGAAATACAAAATCTCTCCCACATGCACACACTTGCAAAAGCTGAAAAAAAATCTGCAAGAACTGCAGGAAGAACTGCAAGTTGAATTATAGTAGCACATCAGAAAAAAAAATGTTAGGAGAAATCTTTTAAACAGTCTGCAGTTCTTACAACATATCTTGTCAAGATGGATAAATGATTCAGAAGAATGTTTTTATACTTTTCCCAAGGACAGATGATAAACCTTCACTATGAATAATGAATCTGTATGGCCTCTGTTCTGAAACCCATTAGAAATGACTTACAAGGTCAGCTAATACATAAAGTGATATTAATGGTCTTACTAACATTGAGTGTTAAAAAGATTAATAGATAACATTGATCTCTGGGAGTTTGGGAGAAAGAGCCAAGAAACATAAGTTACATTTTAAAATTGAGAAACCTATCCTTTTTACAAGTACAAGAAAGATATCTCTATTAGATCCATCAACAATTTAAATCTTCAAATACAGTATAATTAAAACCTGAAGTAGATTAAGGTTGGAATCATATTTAGCAATGGCCTGTTGAAAATGAAAACATGTTGACATAGTAAGGCAGAGAAGATAAAATATAGTACAACTTAGCAGACCACGTGAGGTCAAAAAGATTTCAAGCACATTTAGACCAGAGAAATGCACTTTTAATCTACTAAAATGCGATGTTTAATATTAAATGCAGAGTTAATTCAGCTTCATCTGCACTTTCGGCCATTTTTTTCAATTCTTCACGCACATAAGCTCATCAACCATAGATCAGAGTTCACAAGTTATCCTTCAGTTTCAATCCGAAGTACACCCGCAGTACTTGTAAGTAAACTGGGGCTTCCCTTAACAATAAACAAACACCAGAGCGGAGCGCACAGCTATATTCCCAGCGCAACTGGAGCAACTTGATCTGTAGCTCAGTCCACTCAGCCATGAAAGATACCTGTTGCTGCACCTGCAGAACTGGCTCCATTATGTCACCAACGCCAGAGCTTGTAAAGGGCTGTAAATTTGCCCCTGCAACAAAACTAAACAAAATCAAACCAGCCGGCTCGACTTTTTCCGCTTGGATTTGTCGTCACTCTGGAACCAGGCGTCCCTTTTCATTATTACTGTTGTTGCTGTTATTGTTATTCCAATATCTGTCTCTCTCTCTCCAGATATCCCACCCAGCCACTCTTCCGTGCCCTCGACAAGCTCTTTTTAACACAAGGCAAAGCGATTCAAGGAAGGAAGGAAGGAAGGAAGGAAGGAAGGAAGGAAGGAAAGAGGAGCCTACTCCAAGCCAAACCCATGTTATTATGCTTTTATAGGGGGAAGGAAGCCGAGGACTAATTCCCGCCACACCTCGCCGTCCCACCCGAGCTTTGTAAAAATTTTCAGCGGCTCCACCACGTTGCTACTCCGGTGGCGGGACGTGGATTAACAAAAGTGTGTGCTGCAAAGCGAGGCAGATCCTTTTTTCCGTCCGATTTTTTTTTTTTTTTTTTTTTTTTTGCCCCGCAGATTACAGGGCAACGGCAAGGAGAAAAGCCCAAGTCCCCGGAGCGACGACTCTCCTGCCTCTGAAGCACTGCCGAGGAAGCAGCAAACGTGGAAAGCGGACGGCGGTGGCCGCGGCAACAGCTTTCCACCTGTGGCGAAGTTCTTGGCGGGAGCCCTTCTCCCGGCGCCTCCCCGAACTTGAGCAGCGCAACAGCCAGAGCCCACCTAGTCAGGCGGTCCGCCAAGTTCTCTCCCGTCTCCGCCCGCTCGCACGTAATTTCCACCCACAGCCTCCGCCCGAGAAGAGTGGCGCTGCCGCCGCCGCCTTTCGGCTCCGTCTCAGCGGAGACCCCAGCGCCAAGTGGGAAAAGGAGCGAGGCTATCCCATGACGCCCCTCCTCCGGCCAAGGAGAAGCAGCCGCTCAACTTCACGGTGACGTGACGCGCTTTGCGTCACGTGGAGTTTGGCTCCAAGAGCACAACTAAGTGGCCCAAGGAAACTCCGTCCGCCATCCTCCCGCTCGCCGCTTTCCCTCCTTCAGGAGCGCGGCCGGCTTGGCATTGTCCGCCCGCCCGCCCCTCAACTGTCCTGTATCCTTCCTTCCTGGCTCCCCAAGGGGGCGTGGGGGGAGCGTCCCTTCAGACTCCACCTCTTCTCTTTGCTTGCGGTGTCTTGCCTTGTTCTTTGTTTCTCCAGCTTCTCCCTACTCCGCCCCCATTGCTTTCCCTTGACAGCTGCGGTTCCTTCCGATTCAGCCGCACTATTTCCCCCCCCCCTTTAGGGACAGCCCAGCGCGGCCGAAAGAAAGAAAAGTAAAGACTTTCCCCACCACCACCCCGTCGCTGCCCTCCCGGCCTTCCCTGCCCTGCCAGCGCCAGAGAGCGTGCGCGCGACCGCGGCTGAGCGCCCCGCTTGCAGGTGGAAAGCTGGGAATGAATTCTCCACCCCAGGGCTGCTTCTGCTTTGAAACCCCTCCTCCGGGATTCCATCTTCTCCACGCTCAAGCTCCTCCAATTAGCTGCAGGGGACGGCAGAGACTTGAGCCAATGAACTGACGGCAGTCCGGAGTGTCCCGTCAGCGTGAGCCAATTAGGAGGAGAATTGAATCTTTCCTCGACTCCCTCCTTCTTTCTCATTCTCATCCCGGTTTCTTCAACCCAGTCGGGATTCTGGCAGACGCGCGGTGGGTCTAATACGGTTGAACAGCTGGAAAGGGTCGGCGAGAGAGGCAACCGCAGCCCTCGCCGCTACTACTGTTGGTAGCATTAGGAAACACTTTCGGGGAAAAGGTGGGTAAACGTCAATAAGGATTCTCCGATTGGAACACGAAGATCGGCAAGAACGTCTGCTCAGCGCCCTGTTGAGCCTGTATCATCTTATTTACATTCAGACGATGGCAGCTTTTGATCTCACTGCGTAGCAGAAGTAGATAAGGTTGAGATAATGAAGGCTGGCAAAATGTGGAGTAAAAATTGTAGTCAGGTGTTGAGCATAGCATGCATCACCCGCACAATCCAGAAAAGAAAGCTTTTTGACTGATTTATGATGTTCTCTTCGTGTGATGTTCCATGTTTTTACCCGTATGCATGCAATTGTCCAACTTGACTGTTGTTCTAATGCACATATCTTTTCGCAACCGGCTGTTAGTCTCTAACTTAGGCAAAATGTATTAATGGATTTGGCTTATCAAAGAAATGTAAAATAGAAGTAGTAGATTAATGTATGAAAATTGGCAAAGATTAATTTCTGATCTTTTAGTTTAGGAACGGATTGCTTCGTGAGAAATAAGTGATGGGAAAAAAATTGAACACAGTATCATACAATACAATACAGCTTATTTTGATAAAGATTTGGGTAGTGAAGACTATCTTTAATATTTGAAAAAGTTGTGAAAACTTGATGAGCATCTTATTTCAACCAATTATTATACTTTTGTTACAGTATGGATTTTTTTCTATAACCGAATATAGTTGTTGTCTGCATTCCTTTTTACTCTCTTATATTATGTTTGCTTTTTAAAATAATGAGCAATGTCAGTTTGAGAAAAAAAATGGGTGCAATTTTTTTTATAAAAATACTAATGTAATGCAAGTAAGTCACATGCAAGACCTTTTAGGATCTGAACTTATCTCCAAGTCAGCCCCTCCCAATCCCACCTTCCAGATGTGCAGAACAATCACTTCTATAATTTGCTGGTTGAGGAGTTGTAGTTTTAACATAGCTAGAGGGCACCAGCTTGGAAAAATGCTAAATATGGATTCGGTGACCCTTGTCAATATTCATATTTTGTTTTTATTAAACTATTTTTTTTAAAAAAAATGGTTTCATGATTTTTTTAATTTGAAATGCTAGTACTTGCTTTTAAGATGTGTAGAAGAACCAGTAGTATTTCATGGATTGCCTCTGCCATCCATTTAAGGGAAAATATTGATATCTCCCTGTAGTTGCTGAAGATCTGGTCACAGTGTTTATTTTCATACTGTCTCTTAGCTTAGGAGGATAAAATACTCCATAGTGAAACCAGCTGCATTTTAGCCTAGCACATTATATACAAATCCATTCATGAGAATACAGTTCAGCCATTGGGTTCACATTACACATTAGCCTAAATATGTATTTAATGTATCACGAGAATACAGCCAATATAAGTCAGTTTGTCAGTGTATCACATGAACCCAGAAAAATAAACCATGGTTAGGTGTGTTAAATAAATAATCTAACAGAAATCACTCTTGAAAGCTGCTTGGAAGCTTTGGTTAAGATACTTTGCAAGCCAGAATTTTTTTTCAGGAATAAAGATTTAAACCTTCATATAACTTCACTTCTCATTCCCATGCAAAATTCAAAATGCTGAACTGGGACCACAGTTATTATAGGTCCTGTGACTTACTATAGAGCAGTGATTCTCAACCTTCCTAATGCCGCGACCTTTTAATACAGTTCCTCATGTTGTGGTGACCCCCAAACCCCCATCCAGCTAGCCAGGGGGGTATCAAAAACTTGACCAAAAAAAAAAAGGAAAAAAATGGGAAAGTATAGGTAGTCCTCGACTTACAACAATTCGCTTAGTGACTGTTTGAAGTTACAACAGCATTGAAAAAGTGAATTATGATCATTTTTCACACTTATGATTGTTGCAGCATCCCCAGGGTCATGTGATTTACATTTGGATGCTTGACAACTGATTCATACTTATGACATTCAGTGTCCCAGGGTCACGTGATCAATGGCCAGGGGGCGTGACCAGCTGATCACTCAGGTTGCAGAGTGCCTGTGGGGGAATCTGTGGGTCTCTGGGATGGGACTGGGGTGGGTGCCTGCCTTCCTTCCCTCCCTTCTCTCTCCTTGTCCCTTCCTTCCTTCTTTTCTTCCTTTCCTTCACCTCCCTCTTAGTCTCTTCCTCCTTCCCTCCCTCTCCCATTGTCCCTTCCTTCCTTCTTTCCTTCTTTTCCTTCACCTCCTTCTTAGTCTCTTCCTCCTTCCCTTACTCTCTCCCATTGTCCCTTCCTTCCTTCTTTCCTTCCTTTCCTTCACCTCCTTCTTAGTCTCTTCCTCCCTCCCACCCTCTCCCATTGTCTCTTCCCTCCTTCCTTTCCTTCACCTCCTGCTTAGTCTCTTCCTCCTTCCCTCACTCTCTCCCATTGTCCCTTCCTTCCTTCCTTCCTTCCTTCCTTCCTTCCTCCCTCCCTTCCCTCCCTTCCATTGTTCCTCCCTTCCTTCCCTCTCTCATTGTTCCTTACTTCCCTCCCTCTTCGCCCCTTCCTTCCTCCCCCCCCTCCGTGCCCAGGAAGGGACAAGGGGAGGGGGATAGGCTGCCAGCGTAGCTGGGGGCTTTACTGCCAGCAAACCTGCCTGTGCACAGGCAGAGACAGAGGAGAGCTCGCCCAGCTCACTTGCTCAGCTTCGTCAAAAGGCATGCCGCTTGCTAAGTTAGCAGAAGCTTCAGGATCAGCGCCAGGCCACAGCTGATTCGTGCTTCTGCTAAATTAGCAAACGCATGTTTTCTAGCGAGCAAGTTTGCTGGGCAGGAGCCAAGGAGAGCAGCTACAGCTGCAGAAGCGTGGATCAGCTGTAGAGGCTCGCCCCAATCCTGGACAAGAGGGAAGGAAGGAAAGACGGAAAGGACAAGGGGGAGAGGGAGGGAAGGAGGGACAAAGAGGGAGGTGAAAGGAAGGAAGGAAAGACGGAAAGGACAAGGGGGAGAGGGAGGGAAGGAGGGACAAAGAGGGAGGCGAAGGAAAGGAAGGAAGGAAGGGACAAGGGGAGAGGGAGGGAAGGAGGAAGAGACCAAGAGGGAGGGAAGGAAAGGAAGTTCCAGCCAGGAGAGGCTTGCCAGCCCAGCTGCCGAGAAACAGAAGAGCGCAAAGCCAAGGAGAAGAAGGTGGCGGTTTCCTCCCAAAGGGGGCTCCTTTTCTCCACCCCTTCCCTGGGTTTGTGGGGAATTTCTCCTCACCAACGCTGGCAGATGCTGCTTCGAGCCCGCCGCGAGCTTTCTCATCCCCTTTGCTTCCCCCCCCTCCCCCACTTTCGTGAGGATTGTGGCGCCCTTGGGAAGCCGATTGTGCTTTGAAGCTTAGGAGAGGAGGAAGAGTTCCTTACTCCTTCCCTCCCTCTTGCATCAGCTGGTGCAAGTTCGGGGGTCGCCAGCTGACGGACGCAGGAGTTGGGTGCCCCTTCGCTGACCTGCGTGCACGAGAAGAAGTCAATCTGGTTGCTGCACAATGAGTCTCTGGGGAGGGCGGGGCCTTGCTTTGCGCCTGCGCTCTTCATGCGCCCCCTGCAGGGCACATTTGGTAGAGTTCATGCAAACTGCCGCCAAGCAGCATATTTTCCACAAACAAGTGAGGTGGAGCGGAGGGGGGGAGGGAGAGAAGGCAGTTGACAAGCCCTGCCTAAGACCATCGGAAATATGTGTGTTCCGATGGTCTTAGGTGTCCCCTGTGAAAGGCTCTTGCGACCCCCAAAAGGGTCGCAACCCACAGGTTGAGAACCGCTGCTATAGAGTGGCTACAGTTGTCAACAGGAACCTGAGTAAGGACCTGATTGTTAGCTGCTTCTGACTACAGTATTGACTTTGTCTCAGAGATAGGTGAGATTGTCTTCTCCTATATTTGGCTTCAGATTGGCAGTCAGCATTTTTCTCTTATCTTATTAAGAGTGCTGTGCTCAAATTTATTTTACAGCAAGATTTTTGATCCCGTTTCTTCTTTTTATTATGCTCACAGTTTATAAGAATTTAATTGTGTGCGGATATGGTTTATTAATTAATTGTGAATAAAAGCCCCTGTAATTTCTGCTAGTTTTTATTCACCTTTGACTATGTTCAATCCCACAGTAGTTAGTAGTCTATATTAAGTGAATATGTATTTACCTATTGGTAGTCCTTGGGATAAAATGGCTATTGGGATTGGAATTGCTAAGTGATGCAGTTGTAAAACATGAAGCTATATGACTACATTGTTTAGTGCTGGCACTTCTGGAGTCCCAGTTGCCATTGTTAAATGAGAATGTGAGTCATTAAGCAAGCATTTAACTATGACTTTCAATTTCCTGCTGGCTTCCCCAATGATTTTGCTTGTGGGAAGCTGGCAGGGAACAATGGGAATCATGATCACGTGATTTCAGAGATACTGTGATGATTGGAACTGTAAGGACCAATCATAACTACAACTCCGTCTGTCATTGTAAATTTGAATGGTCACTGATCGAGTGGTCGTAATCTGAGGATCACCCGTAAATCTAATTACTTTTTTTTAAAAAAAAATCAGGCTACAGACATCTGACATATATGTACCTAACTTAATGGAGGACAAGATCAAACTAGCAAGATATCTCATAATGTAGATATCAAAATTCAAAATCCATGTATGATTTTTTAAATGAAAAGTGAATATGAGTCATGTTTTCCGTTTTTAAATTAAATGTGGGCTGAAAGAATAATTTTCCAGTTACTAGTGTTTATTTTGGAGACAAATGCTGTAAAACACTAATCAGTGTGTTTTTATAACTGAGGATATATGTATAAATCCCTGCGCTTAAAATGTCTTATGTAAGGTGACTTGGCACAGCCCTCTCGCTCTGTGTTTTCAGTGCTGAAGATGAATTGGAAAAGTTCCCTTTTGGAAAGCAGTATTAATTTTATTTTGTTCTAATCAAGTATATGATTCTGGAAATCTAAGAAGTATAAATTCTGTGCAATGCATTTTTAAAAACAATAACTTTGGCAAAATATATATATATAAGTTATTCTAACCAGAATTGACCTGCTTTATCTTGTTTTTGTGAAGAAACAGCATCAGTCTGAATGAAAACATTTATTGATTATTTCAATTTATACAGCTGCCAATCTCAAATTCATGATTTTGGGCTGTAATTAAAAATAGCATAAGAACATAAAGCAAGAAAGAAATAACAGTATGCACTTAATCTGCACCCAAGATTAAAAAAAAAAAACCCACAACACAAATCAGCATAAACATTGCATGAGCTGAGACTTATACTTGGATTCTCAAATTTTGGGAAACGTCCGCAGATATTAGACCAAGAGTTATCAACTAGGGATCATGAGGCCTCTAGATCAGGGGTCCCCAACCCCAGGTCCGTGGACCAGTACCAGGCCGCGGCATGCCAGCGATTGGGCCGCACAAACAAGCAAAACCTCATCCGTGAGATGCAGGCAGAACACAAAACCACACCCCCTCCGGTCCGCAGAAAAACCTCTCTCCACAGAACCGGTCCCTGGTGCCCAAAAGGTTGGGGACCTTTCCTCTAGATAGTCCAATAGACTTCCATTTTTTAAAAAAAAAACTAAAAATGGCCCAAATCCTATAATATTTTGTTTTCTTATGAGATGTTAGCTATTTTTAATGTTGTAAAGTTAATTTCTTATTTTTTAAAAGAATTGTCCATGTGCTACGCTCTTCATGCAATGTAGGAAAAATATATTCAATACAGGTAGTCCTCAATTTACAACAGTTCATTTAGTGACTCTTCCAAGTTACAAGCGGCACTGGAAAAAGTGACTTATGACCATTTTTCACACTTATAACTTTTGCAGCATTCCCGTGATCATAATTCAGACACTTGGCAACTGACTCATATTTACGATGGTTGCAATGTCCTTGAGTCATGTGATTACTTTTTAGGACCTTCTGACAAGCAAAGTCAATGGGGTAGCCAAATTCACTTAACAATTGTGTTACTAGTTGATTTATTTAATAACTGTGGCAAGAAAGATCGTAAAATGGAGTAAAACTAAAATATCTCACTTAGCTACAATGAGATCAATTGTGGTCATACAGGTGAGTCAAGGACTACCTGTAGGAGGGCTGCATGTAAAAGTAATAGCTGGAGGTGCATGAAGGTGATGTGTAGTAACTTAAGAAGCCAGAACAATAGAGAAAAAGATATTGAATGACATATCTTATGTTCAAACTATGTATGTAAAGTTTTAGGCCTTTAATTTGATGAAAGCTATGAGCATCCTTTATAAATCTTTTAGTGCAGCTCTGCAAACCAGGTGTTGATTGTAAGTACAGGAGACTAAATGATTGTGATGCATCTGAGTGTTTTGGTACTGCAAAAGACTCTAGAACTTGTAATGTAGCAAAATTAATAAAAGTGTGCTGCCTTTTAAATAGCATAGCAGAGAACTTTCTGTGTCATGGGTACCTCTTCTATAGAGGTAATACCCAAAGAAAGAAAAAAAAAACCCTAAAATCATCATGCAGGGCATATATTCACAGGCAGACATTAAACATTCACAGTTGCACATTAAACATTCCCAAACAAATGGGAGCCATAATTTGTTACAATTATATATAGCTAATCTGTACTGATAAGCTATTGATTTGTAAATTGCTAATAACATCAATTCTGTAGTTCACTGAATAATTTTCTCCTGGGTCCTGCCAGGTGAAACTCCTTATTAGACAGGATCTGCAACACACTCGTTCTGTTGGGTCTGATGGGATGGACAGACATAATCAGAAAGAGATGGCTCCTCATACTGAATAGTTTCCTAATTTGAACATCATTTAGTCTTTTTTTTTAAAAAAATCCTACTTTTAATACATTTAGGTATTTAATATGTTTAATATGTATTTAAATTTAATACATTTAGGCAATTATGAACATAAATCCTGTTTCCCACATTAAAATGGCAAGCAAAGGTCCAAGGAATTCATTGTTAAAACATTTGAACATTTGGCCCTCTGGTAGGCATCTCTTTTCTAGTTATAAAATAAAGTTCTATTGTTTTAGTATTAATATGACTTACTAAGAGGACCACATGACCTTTCCTACATTTTAACAATATTAAAACAGTAATAAAACTTGCAATAGATTTCAAGCCATTAGTGTCATTACAAATACAAAACTATAAAAGCTAAATAACAGTTGAGACTAAGTATGGAAATTATTAGCCTATAGGACTTTATTTTTCAGTAAAACTAGATAAAGTAAAATGGCATATTTTGTAAGGCTCAGTGTTGCTAAGGAGATGCTTCCTATGTTGCTATATGTGCATCATGGTTTTATGCTCATTTTGCCTGATGCAGCCAAGTACTGTATTTGATGAGCTACATGCTACAATGCATTAGTACATGACTGAAACTTTAGTAAAGCACTAGCAATCAAACATTCAGGGCTTTAGGATCACAACAATATTCAGCAAATGCAAGATAATATGGTACTTTTGAAATACAGAAGAAGGAGGAGGAGGATTTGTGGTGAAATCAATTTGTGGTAACTACAAATGCCCTGAAATTCAGCTGGAAAGTTAATCCAGAGAGTCTGAATAGGATGTGATCTTTGTGACAAATGCCATACAATTCCTATCCACTCCTTAATCTATTATAAAGAGGTTCAGGAAATACAAACTTTCTGTGTGTGTCTGTGTGTATTTAGTAGTATTGTGAGAACAGTGCAATAATCTAAGTTACTGCTTATGGAAAACTAGGAATGATTTATTAGCTTAGATAACACTCTGGAAGGATCCAGGATCAGAACTTAGCATGATATAAATTCTAAGATCAAAAAGCAGCCTCTCCCTTACTTCTTATTTATATCCCTGATCTCAGTTATCAGAGCAATGAAATCGTGCCCTCCTCCATCCCAATGTATCATCATAAATGTTGACTATGATTTTCTTTAAATTGTTGTGCTCCTGAGAATATGATACAGTTAATTCCAGCCTGAAATCAACAGGTACGAACAAATTTATTATAAAATTATTTGGATTTTTACACTGCTGCTTGATTTTTCTTAAGAAATCATAGTCACAGAACAATAGATTTAGACCAATAATATGGACATCTACCCCACAATTCTTAATCACAAAACATTTTTGAAAAATCTCTATACAGAGAAAACACATTTTTCATTTTCATTTCTTAATGTTTCAAAATGGGTTTTCCATAAAACACTACTGTTAATTTCATAGAGAAAGCCTTAAAAGAAAACCATTCAAATTTAGTTAAAGAGAGTAATGTGCAATGTAGGCTTGACACCCACCTATCTCTTTGGGTTCAATAAAACATACTCCAGCTGTGGGTATAAGACCACAGCCCAAAACTTGATCTATCAGTTGCTTGTCTTTAATCAGTATTAAATAAGTTTGCTTTTTCCTTTATGTTTATATTTTAATGTATTTATAAACATGAGATAATGACATACAGATATTCCAGTACATAAAGTCCCCTCTACTATAATTATATTCATTTTCTGAATGATAAGCATACTCTTCAAAGTTATCATTTGACACCATGCAGATGTATCAAATATCAAGAAGCTGATGAAATTCCATCGAATACAAGTTTCTGAAGAACTTTTATTCAAAAGAATGAAAATGAAAATACATAATGAGTCAAAATTATTTGATCAATCAAATACCAATAGGAACGAAACATACACAATCTAGAATAAAAATTCTGATCGGATACTATCTGCTCACAAGGCAGTAACCCTGGAAAAAGTGGTTGCCTTTTTCTGAGAGGGTGTCCTTCCTCATTTCTAGGATCCAACGGAGGCAAGAGCTTCTTCAAAAGACTGTGTATTCCTCTCCCCAGTATAAATGCCAGACTGTAGCTGGTCATCCTTCACAACAGCCCAGGACATCTGGTTGGTAGAGAACTTAGCAGCCCACTCCCCTGAACTGCTAATAACAATGATGCCGCCTAAACCTCCAACTCTGGTTTTCATACAATCTAGAGCAGCATCAGCAGCCTCTCCTGGTGATTTCCCTGAAAAATCAGAATATGAACCATGCCTTAATTTAAAAAGAAAAAAATGAAAGGTACACTTTAAATGGGTAAACTTTTTTTTATATGTACTACTATTTAAATAGATAAACTATTTTAAATGGATAAACCAAGATACATTTTGCATTCTGCCAACAAACCTTTGAGATAACTTTTGAAGGGGGTGCCTTCAAGTCCTGGTGATGGCCTTGGCTAATCCTGTCAGTTTTCATGGCAAAACTTTCAGAAGTGGCTTGCCATTGCCCTTTTCCTAGGGTTGAGATACAGTGACTAGCCCAAGATTACCCAGCTGGCTTTGTGCTTAAAAGTGGGAATAGAACTCATGCTCTCCCAGTTTCTAACAGGTGCCTGAACCACTACACCAAGCTGGCTCTCTTGGGGTAATTAACATTGATTAACAAAATACATGTCTGAAAGGAAGCATATCCAAAAAACTATGCCATTAATTCTATGAACAGAAGGGCTCTTTAGACTCCTGTCTTTCAAAACATACGGGAGGCGGGGGGAAGCTTTCCAATTCAGGTGGATGAAACTTCTTTTGAAAGTGAAGAGCGCTTCAAAGGAGATTATGATCTGACAGCTGTTCATCACAAAGGAAGCTGGGATGAAAATTTCCATTGAGGCTCCTCATTCCCATTGTTTGTGACTACTAAATCTTTTTAGTTTGATTCAGTGGAAGGCTTCCTGCCCAAATCTAATTCAAGGTATGTTTTGCTAGATTTGATTAATTCCTGACAATCATGCACCCTGCAGCTTAAATGACTACAAATGAAGTCTTCTAATAACTAAAATTATTCTGCCAGCTGTTTTAATGACAAAAAACCTTTCTGTTACTGAAAAGAAGAGTGGATGAGTCTACCTGTGTCATAGACATACAGGTTTACTTTTCTGGTTTTGTTTCCGCTCCCTTCCAAATGAATGGTTTAATAAAGATCAGTCATTAATATTCTGGACAACTTTCAAGAGCATCATTTTATCACTGAGAAATAAGACTTCTATTGTTAAGCTAATAGTAGCCTATTGAGCCTATTAAGCATGGCTACTATAATGCATGTTAACTCTGAACATTTTATTAAGTTCCAAGTGTACACGAAGCTCAAAACAATAAACACTACGAAAGCAAGAAGCATTTAATTAACTGTGTAATTAATTCAATGTCCAAAAACAAAAACTCATTGTGTGCGCAAAATATCAATGCTATCTTTCAAGATTTCTTTTTTTTCCAATTTATAATTTTTATTTGGAAGTAAGCCACTTGACTTAAAAATATCAAATGTTATCAGGTATGAAGTATAATCCAGGGGTCCTCAACCTTGGCAACTTTAAGACTTGTGGACTTCAACTCCCAGAATTCGATTTTCTTCTTCCTCCCAATAGACATGAAAGCCCAGAATGGAAACTGTTCCTATGCTTATAAACCAGAGCCCCAGCCTTTAAAATGCCAAGAAAGAGGAAATATTCACTCTAGCAATAGCTGCTACAGCAAAGTTTAGCTATTCTAATTCTGTGAGGGAGCGATTCAGTTCTTAACCTTCAGCTGAGCATATCCTTAGGCCACGCTGAATTGCCTAACTTTATCTGAAAAATGCTGATTATATCATACATTTCTGTTATAATAGTCTAAACATGAACATAAGCCTACGCATCCATACTGATTGAAAGCTCTTTGGCTAAAAATATTGAAACAATGTTGCCAGCTAAAGTACCCTGAAGTGTGATTTAATCTGGAAACACTTCTTAGCTGTCTCACTATTGCAGTAGGACCAGTTTATATTTTCTATGTTATCATATCAGACCTGTGTATATACACGGACACATCCATGCAAGCCAGAATCATGCTGAGAATCAATGCCGTATTAATAGCAGCTACCAGCTTTCAGGTTATAAACCTCGTGGCTGTTTTTCAACAGATTCTGGAATGTTTTCTTACCCAAATATTACTTTGACATTTTATATTTTATAACATTTTTAAAGATGTTGAAAATGTATCCCACCCCTTCACATAAACTTCATTTATGTCAGGCTTCAGCAAAAAGCTAGCCCACTTGTGCTGGTTGTAAAACAAACAAACAAACAAAAAACCTAAGCACTGTCAGATCTGGCCAATTCTAGGCCAGGAAATCCCAGGACTAAGAACTCAGAAGTTCAAAAACAGGGACAACCATTTCTACATATCTAAGAAAGTGTTGCTGTGACTGTGCCCAGTCACTGGGAATCAAGCATGTCTCAGGAAGATTTTGTGTTTTCCTGATATTGCACAACTCTGTCTTGAAAGTTCTGCAACAGAAGAAGTTTCTTCACTGCTTTTGTAAGGTTGCAGGAACACACAGTATCAGCCTATTTCCAGGGTTACGTCCAACTTCCTGTAAAAGGGCTTTCACTCACACTGCTGATTTTTCCTTCCTCATCATCCCTGGAGCTCCCTATCTGCTCAAGGGATAGGGAGTCACGCCTAAGAGCGGATTTGAAAGGGAAGAATCTGCTCTGCTGGCTGATGCTGTCCTGGATGGATACCACTGGACTTCAGTACCACTGCTACGATGAAAGCAGTGTTTTTCATACGGATTTCCTTTTTTTACTAATTGGAATAGTACTCCAATCCTCAAGATAGAATTTTTGTAGAAGGGATTATTTTTTTCATACGTGAAGATGTCTTAAGGAACTCACTGAATGTCCTTTAATTCCTTCTTTAGTATTTAACTTAAAACTGGAACCATTTGCCTGTATTGTAAGGTAATTCAAAGAACATTTAGACATAAAAGTGGCTAACATAAAAAACAGCTTTTATATGCTGATAAAATATGCCATGTAGTAATTATAAATGTTCTACACTAAGATTTATTGATATGGTACAATACGTATGTTGTCAGGCTGTGCAGTTAACAGAAGCAACTCTCATACACTTCTGATAGGCTCCATTAAATCTATGGATATTTGTTTGATTAGGTATCTTAAATATTTGGAAATAATTATTTCAAGAAAACTCTTTTCATTTGGAGATAAAAATATATTAGATTGTTTGCATCTGATTAATGTTTATGACAGTAGTAAAGATTAAAGAACCGATGAGTAGACCAGTCTCCTGGAATCTCTTCAGATAAGATCAAGAGAGGAGATCACCCACATATACTGCATGCAGATAATTATTCCTTGTGAGGACACTGTAAGACAGCAGTTTTCTGCCAAGTTTGAGTGCTGGGAAAGGACAGGAATCAGCCATAGCTGAAGGAGACTTTTGAAGACTGGATCAGAAAATAGTAGCCACAATATCAACAATTCAGTAATGATATCTGTTAATGAGGGTCTGCTTCTATGGATCAACTATGTCCAAAATATATTATTGAAAAAAATGTCAGATATAGAAGAAATTTTAGCTGACAAGATAGAGATGGTAACAAAAGTGGATTTACAACTGACAGTTGTAAATGATTTAGAGAAAAGTTATTGGATCTTAAAAAAAACCTTTAAAAGAGAAATACGACTGAAAAATTAAGAGAGTAACCTGCATAGCTTTTTTCTATTCAAATTAGAAAAGAGGCTTATTAAAGCCTTGAAGAACTCTGTGCAATGGGACAAAGAAGAAACGAAGAGGAATCAAATCCTACAACTATATTTGATTGAACTACAAGTTAAGGCTATTAGAAGTAAAAGGAAGGAATATAAAATTGGTTGATCAAGTTTAAGCAAGATATGTTATTACTTTTGGTAACCCTTTATGGACTTTCTCATCACAACTGAAAAAATGATGCTTTATGGATTTGTCCATAAGAGAAGGGATATTTATAGGATAAAGTGATAATTGTTTCTACCAATTAAAGGGGGTGAAGAATCACTACGTTTGTATTTGTTGTGATGAAAGTTGGAAGTCACTTCTCTATATATTTCTTTTTTCTTCTGTATATTCTCTCTTTTCTTTTCTTTTTGCATTTTTTACTCTTTTCTATTATCTTTTCTTTCAGATTTAGTATTAGATTTTACTATTATAATCATTATTTTATAAATAGATATAGAAATATATGAAAGTAGAACAATCCTATGAACTTATGGGGTGTATATTGCAAAAATATACATTAACTCCTATGTTAATATTCTTAACTTATTTTAAATAGATTGATTATTAAGACATATGGGGGAAAAAGCCCCTTATCAGGTCTACATAATAGAACCTGAACCACAAAGTATAGATCACATCTACTTTTATTGAAATAGCTATAGTAACAGAATCTTGCAGGTCTGAATGTGCTTCCCCTCCCATTACTTTATTTTTGTGTGAACTAGAAAGAAGATTGTCCGAAACATTTTCTCTAATTGTTTTCTTCACCTAGGCTGAAGCCCCACTTATTCGACCATTGTCTTGGTAGAAGCTCTTCCTCTGGTCTTTAAGGGCCATTCCCTATGCCCCCTAGACCCCTATATTTTTTTTAATCTAAACTGCAGTTTTTGATGGTTTTATGATTATTGTAGGTAGTGGTCTTAGAAATCAGTCATAAAACAAACAAACACACTTTCATGCTTTTTAACTTTATCACTGGGCATATGTTTTAACTTTTGTTTAGCTTTTGTAGTGACACTGATTGTCCTTTTACAAGAAAAGACAGCATCACCCTAAATTGGCAGCAGTGGTGGGATTCAGCTGGCAGAACCGGTAATTTTTTGTTGCCCAGACCCAGAATGGCATCCACCCAGAGAACCGGTTGTTCACATATTTGAATCTCACCACTGATTGACAGTCTTAGACTGTTTGTGTATTCATTCTCTGCTTCTAAACAGGATCTCAATGGACAGAATGGAAAGATTGACCAATATTATTCTGTGTGGTCAAGGTTTACTGCTGCATTTAAAAACTGAGCTGATGCTTTAAAAAGGCTATTATACCTATGGGTTTATTTTCTCTGTTTATTTTTCTTTCTGTATTCCTTTCTCTCTATTTATTAAGGCAATTTGTAAAGAAAGTTTGACTTTCCAGCCTCTCCTTCAGTTCTGAAATTTCCCAGTGGTCTCCAATCAAGCCTCAGCCAAGGTTGGCTAGACAACATAATCTACACTAATAAAGAATACAGAACATACATGATTTATTTTAAATTCCTATCCAGCCATGAGGCTTCTTTTGTGACTCTGAGCTTGTCTCAGCCTAATCTGTCACACAAGATCATAGTGAAGATAAAGTTGGTTGAACAAGTGCCAGATATTATGCCTTGAGCATCTGAGAGAGGAATGTTTTAATCTAATCCTCCCAAAGAAACAGAAGCAACCTTCGCTGCATCCCATAACTAAAAAGCTAAAACAGGGGGCCCTTGAGGCAGCAAACTCTTATTTAAAACACAATTGTTATATCTGATTCCAATGCAGACAACCTTTCATGTGAGGGGAAACGATGTTCCAAATTAATGTGGTTAAACATTTGTTGTCAAGTTGCATAAAACAGAGATCAAGTGTCCTTTAATAAGAGAACCAGGCGATCAAGGGCTTTGCAGACAATATATCTACCAACATTGTTTTGCAACTCAACATTTTCTGTGAAAACTCTTTGAAGTTCTCAAGTAACACAAATTTGCAACAGAATCACACTTTTCCCTGTAAGTAACTATATTCAGGGAAAAAAAGATTGGATTAACATGTGTTCAGACTGTAATAGAAGTCAAGTGTTTAGATAACCCAAAAGGTAAAGTTTTCTATGGTCAACCATAGTTAGATTATGTTATGGTCACATGAACATCCTATTGCCAGCTTTTATCAGTACTCTTCCACATCAATATCCAGATTAGAACATTTGTTTTCAATGAATGTATTATATTTAAACAGAAGTCAGAGAAAAAAAAATGGTATTTAAAACAGATTTAAAAGGCTTCGGCAGTGAGTAATCTAAATTCTTCAAGCATGTTTGTTGCTGAATGTGAAAGTATGACATGAACATTTTACAGTCATGCTTTTTTACTTATAACCAACACTTCACTGCATGTAACTATTTTTTAAAATAGAAATATTCCAGTACATGTTGGTAGAATGTCACTTTAGGTTGATTAGACTGAAATCAACACAAATATCTGAAAAGAGTAAATGCTGTTGTTTGGAGAGGATCCCTGAGGCCAGCTGTCATTAGCTTGGTAACATCCAAATATATTTCAATTCCTATAATTCCCATCCAGGATGGCTTCATGGAGAGCACTAGACTGGAAAAGACTGACCTAAAATATTAAATTGTTTCATCTTCTCTTTACCAATTCCATCAGTTACACAAATACAAGGTGCAAGGAGCCTTGTGTTAGTTTACTTGATCTATATAAATAAAAATGTAAATGTTCGTTTGTTGAAAATCTTAAATCTCCGAAAGTTCTTCACCGATTGCTTTGAAATTTTGACACAATGTTGCATTCGAATACGCACGTGTTTTTATATACCTATATTATATAGATGTCACACCTGTGACAGGTAAAAACATGCTTTTTTTCAAAAACAGCGCCATCTGTTGGACGTAAAAGCAACACACGCTACGTGCGCTTTCTCTTTTCTTTCTTTTCCATTTAACCAGACTGAGCCACAGCAACGCGTGGCCAGGTACAGCTAGTATACTAATAAAAGACAATAGATGTTCAAGATAACAAATAAAATTCATGTAAAAACAGAATGATTCAACATTCTCCAAACAAAATTTTAAAAATGAAGGAGCTGGAATATTTCTTGCAGTAAAACCATAAATTGGCATTAAAAATACTTAAAACTTGACAAATAGGAAAGGCCATTAATGATGACTGCTGATAGCAGAAAACTTCATAGGCCCTTTACTCTGAATGGTAAATTAGAGCCCCAAACATTGGCCCGTTAAGAGTAGCAGATACTAGAACAAGCATCTGAATTTATATCAGATTGCATTTATGTGTATTAGCTCTAAAATCACTGTTTGTTGCATGTCCAACGTGCTTCCAACATGATGCATCCTCAAACTGAAATAACCAACGACGCTGTTCATCAACTCACTGGGTGAAATATTAATCCTTCATGCTTTATATCAGGGGTCTTCAAACTTGGCCCTTTTATGACTTGTGGACTTCAACTCCCAGAATTCCTCAGCCAGGCACGCTGGCTGAGGAATTCTGGGAGTTGAAGTCCACAAGTCATAAAAGGGCCAAGTTTGAAGACCCCCTGCTTTATATAATGTAAAACTTCTGGAACATCAGGATATGTATATACCTTGCTCCATATGGTAAAGAGTAAGTCTTGCCAGAATCACTTTCATAATGCTCTCTCCATGGCCAGTGGTGGAGGTGGCACCAATGCTATTATCTGCATAACCACCACTTCCTAGGAAAGGAAAAGATTAAAAAAACAGCATTTTAGTAACCCATTTCTCCAATCAATATCTATGTATTACACGGTATAGGCCAGGGATAGTATCAACTATATTTTGGAGTCCTATTAACAATGAAGGGGCTCAAGCAAAATGCAATTGCCTCAACTTTTATGAAATTATAAAGAGAAGGTAAACAGTGGAAAAGAACACCCCCCAATGCGCCCCCAGAAAAGAATGCCTACAAGGTTTTTTCCATGAGAAAAGCATGTTCAGAGAACATATTTTAGTATCTGAACAAACATTCTCAAAATATTTCACACTTTCCACTCCATCAACTTATCTTGATATATGGTATTTCTTAAAAGCTATGAAATCATCTCATCTTAAGAAAACATGCCATTCAATTAAAAATAGCTTTGTTTGAAGGACAAACCAAACAGTTGCTTGCTGGTTCCACTTCAGTACTTTATATTTTCCCTGTTCAGATTTAAAAGGATCTGGTTCTATGTGGAGCAGGGATGGCCTCCAGAAGACCTACAAACTCTTATTATCTCTGGAATGCAGTCACTGAGCATTATGAAATTATTACTGGTCACGTGCATTTTATGAGAATGAGAAGACACATCTATGGTATTGTTCTACCTATGCATGCTGTATCACCAACGCGGCCAAGCCGTTTGTTAGTAAGTCCTCCTGTTGATGTTGCACAAGCTACATTTCCTGCACTGTCGATAGCAACCGCTCCAACTGTTCCAAGGTCTCTGCCAAAAATAGCATTTCAGACAATTAGCTGCAGATCTCAAAGCATTTGACAAACAAACACAGCATCTGTTAGCATAGGTAGGTATTTTTCAAGTATGAAATGACAATAGGCCAGTGATGACGAACCTTTTAGAGACCGAGTGCCCAAACTGCAACCCACTTATTTATCGCCGGGTGCCAGGTGGGCATGGTCCACTGGGTGGGTGTGGCTGTGGTGGTCATGGCAGATTGGGTGAGTGTGGCCAAGGTAAGCGTGATCACCTCAATGTTGCTTGTGGGGAGGAATGCCTGTGGGGGCCGGGCAGGGTTGGGGGAGATCCAGGGGATCTCTGGCAGGTGGGGCAGTGGGCAGGAGGCTCGTCCTGCGGGATGAGGCGAGGCAAGGCAGGGCGGGGGTGCCATTGTCACAGGGCAAGAGGAGGCAGGGGCCAGGGCGGCTGCTGCCTGACACCATCGGCCCCTGCACACAGAGGCCAGCGAGCGCATGGGTGCTGGGATGCATCCAGCCATGTGGGACCTGGTCGAGTTAGTGGGTGGCTGGTTGAAGAGAGATGGTTGCCATCTCTGGGGCATGGTAAGAGTTCCCACAGACAGGGCTCTGAGTGCCGCCTCTAGCATGTGTGCCATAGGTTTGCCACCACTGCAATAGGCCGTCTTCAGACTGAAGCCATGAGTCTCCAAGCAGGTTCATTTAGAGCATTTAGCAAAGCAACACAGCCAGGTTACTGCACTATGGGGTTTATACTTAAGCTGCCACAGACTTTAACTTATGTAAAATTATTAGAATCCCAGATTTCTACTCAGCTTAAAGAAGGGGTCTTCAAACTTGGCCCTTTTATGACTCGTGGAATTCAACTCCCAGAATTCCTCAGCCAGCATGCCTGGCTGAGGAATTCTGGGAGTTGAAGTCCACGAGTCATAAAAGGGCCAAATTTGAAGATCCCTAGCTTAAAGTTTTTCCTCCTTTCTCACAAATGGCCTTTGACAGCTTGGACAAATAGTATCTTTCTTGTGGACTACGATCATTCTCATTTTCTTGCACTTGCTTTGGGCTGCTACAGCTACTAAATCCCACAAATTGCAATTCTATCATTAAAATAAATGAAAAGTCAGTGTTTTTAACAACAAAATCCTTCCAGATCAGTTCAAAGACCTATTTAAACGACTGTTTTCAAACGCAAATCATTACAAATGCTGCAGGACTGGTTAATTAGACCAAAGGCTACAACACTGAGGTCATTTTATATATTGATAGAATGGTCTCTTAAAATCTTGTGAAGTGCATCAAAAAGAATTGCAGCACACAATTGTACTACACCTCTCTTTCTCTCAGTAGCTTTCCAGTGCTATTGATGCTTAATTAACAGATGTGCAACAAGTCTGCCTCTATCTTTCTGAAGAGCAATTTTTATGTGAACTGAGATCTGTGGAGAACATAGTGCAAGCAGAACCTGCTTGCTCTCCCTCGTTTCACAAGATGCAAAGGGAGGTGGTGTGAAGCAATGGCATGTATTCACAATAGTGAATTTCAGCAGCCATAATCATAGCTATGTCGTTTTGTTAACACTGGAGTTTGGCATGTAGCTGCACAGAGACCAGCTACAATAAGGAAGGCAATATCCAACCCCATTCCTTCCACAGCTGGTTCCAGGTTTGCAGATCCCACCATTGTTCTCCTACGCAAGGCCTCCCTTCCAGCTGAAGTGCCCTGGGAGGATGAAGGAACATGGTCATCACAGTGAGGGTCAAAGCCAAAATTTGATCCTGCCATTCATTGCCGCAGCTTACAAATTTAGAATATGATACACCTGGGTAGGGTAGGGTAGTTGCACTCTTAGCCTTGCACTTCACAGCCAAGACTGTATCTCGTTCACACTGCCGCACACCTCCCGATTAAGGCCTTAGAGGGAAAACACAGCTCCATTCCTGACTTAGGCTGTGATGGTGCAACAGTGCAGGGCTAGGAGTGGCTATCCAGTCTGTCCCACCAGGTACAGAGCCAGTTTTCATTCTAAACTGGTACCAAAGAGATGCTACAACAGGGGTCTTCAAACATGGCCCTTTTATGACTTGTGGACTTCAATTCCCACAAGTCCACAAGTCATAAAAGGGCCAAGTTTGAAGAGCCCTGTGCTACAACAATGGCAGATGCAGCCATCTCTCAGCCTGCATCATCAAAGCCATTAAGTCTAAGTCTCTTCTAATTAGCCTAAGAGAACATTGGCATCCTTCTGCACTACACTACTACTGCCTGTCACTCTCAGGCTACAAGGTGTGAGCTGCAGTTTTGAGATCTTGCTCCAAACTCAGTTTCTTGTTTCACACAGCCACAAAAGTTAAGAGGAAGACAGGAGAAATTGCATGTAGCAGCTTCCAGTAGTTCAAATGTGGAAGAAATACTCCCTCTGAATTTGGGGAAGAGGTTATGTGGGTTGATTGCTCTCTTTAATTTAATTCTCTTCATTCAAGCAGACAGAACACCAATACTGATAGTTACTTTTGACATTCTTGAGGGTTCCAGTCAGCCTCAAGGTTTTTCTTCCACCTCTCCAGTGACCTTTCAGTGATTAATTTTTCTCCAGGAACCTCAGGAATTCCCATGGCCCTAGCAAAGGCAGAGGCCCCTTGGTCAGTCAGCAACATGTGGTCCGTCTGAAGGAAAGAGGAGAGAAGCAGCCACTCAAATTGCTGCACAAATCAGTTTCAAGCCATGTACATACCACCCAATAGAATGGTATTTCAGCAGTGTCCTGTATTTAATGTTGTTTGCCAAATACTTGCTGCAAATGCTATAGCACAAAGGAGGTGCACATTTAAATACCTTCATTCATTTCTGCCTTTACTTAGAGAAAAATCCTGAACCTGGGTAAGAATGCCACCAGAAATGGATGATGTGTCAACATAATTTTGATTTCTTTATTTAATTCCAGGGATAGAATCACCCATCTACTTTCAAGAGAGGTATGAAAGAGATGGATGATGTTTTTGCAATAGTGTTTTAAAAAAAAAAATCCAGAAGAAAATCTCTGGAGAAAATCTCTGCAGAAGAGCTGAACAACTTGTCAGGGGAAAAGATTCTGTCCTCTGTAGCTTTATGCTTACTTCTAAGATATGTTCAATGCAAGAAACTGCAGAATTTTATGTTGATGTGAAGCAGAACACTTTGAAACAGAACTGGGTTTTTTTTTAGCCATGCAGAAATTGGGACTTTCCTTTGCTGAACTTCTATTGCAAGATGCTCCCGTCTTTCACATTGCCTGCAAGCTGAAGGCAGTTTCAAAAGGACATACACCATTTATGCCACTTCTCTTCAAGTACTCCAGTTGTGTCCCCTGATTTTATTATATCACACTCTACCTAATAACTTGTTCATACCATATACCAATTGTTTCTTTTGTTAAGGAAAGTGCCACCACTGGTACTAGGAACACAGTGTGTGTGTGTGTGTGTGTGTGTGTGTGTGTGTGTGTGTGTGTGTGTAGGCCCAGTATGTAAACTTTGCTACTGTACTAAACCCTTTGTACTATCATGCACTATCATGACAAGTTTCCTGGGATTAAGGAAATAAAAGTATTTATTTTGTTGGAGATCATTTTGAACAAACAAAACTTGTGAATCCCCAACAACAGGCAACAGAGATTGCCAGGTGCTGGAGTCCCATGCTGAGAGCCATAAATCAACTTATGTAAGGCAGAAGGATTATAAAGACAGTTTATTCTTATGAGTCTACAATGTTCCACACCTGTAGAAAAAAAATGCCTTGTGCACCACTGCCCTCTTCTGCTTTTGCTTTCAAAACAAACTCAACAGCTTTCATGTGAAAAGAAAGTCACTTTACGTTCAATGGGCCTAATTTTCAGACAGCATATATAATAATAATTAATATTCTTAGTGACTACATATTCAAATAAAAATAATTTTGGGATAAAGCAGTACATTTATTAGCCAACTGAAGGCATATGTGACACTTCGTTATTTTTAAATGAATTGGTAGAAGCATTTCAAAAAGATCCTAAGCTTTGGGTGGCATATTGTTATCCATATGTAAAATGTGTTAATTTTAGTTGAATTCATGCTCTCAATTCAAAAATACATAGCTTTATACATATACACACTTAAAAGGCAGCAATAAAACCTGTATTATATTTTTTAATTATAAAAGTAAATCATTGAAAATATATGAAAATTTAAAAAATTGTTTGCATATACTGTATTCCATCTTCAGCTTGCTTAACAAGTATGAGATTTCATTTAATTCCTGCTGTGTATGTATGTATGTATGTATGTATATTTGTACCATATATATATATATATATATATATATATATATATATATATATATATATATATATATATATATAGCTTTTGCTGAAGTCTTCTTGTGAATCTAAAAAACTATATGCTTAAATTATGAAAAACCCAAGGTTCTGTTTTACATTTATAACAGCCCAAAATACTGGATAAATTGAATCTGACACTTCACTTAAAAGAATTGTGCATAGCAGGGGGTAAAATGGCTCCAGGATGCATGTAGCTGAATGTGAATATAACCAAGAATTTGGAAAATGTTTTCCTGCATTCCGTTGGAATCTTGCTTTTTGGGCTATTAAATATTACTTAATACTAGATATTAAAAATGTTGTAATGTTGTTATTTAGTTAATTGCATTCAGATTTTTCTCAAAGCTTAGCATGGAGTGTGGGGGCATCGCAGAATGTATGTTTATTAATCAGGCATACATCAGGAGTTACAAATTCATATTATGGTAATTGCAACTTTTGTTTAGTACAGAGATGGGCAACCTTTTGCTCTTCTTTTTGTCATACAGCAGAGGATCTACAGAATGTTCAGGTATCTTTCGTTTTTTTAGTGAGCTAACACTGAACAAATTGCAAGTTAATTTAGAGACTGCAATGTAACATCCATGTTTGTACAATATCTTCTGTACATACCTCCCTAAAATGAATATGAATTGGCTCCAAACGGTTAGATTTTTCAGTGCAAGTCATGAAAATGTCTCTATAGGCACCTCCATATTTTGGTAGATTTCTGGATGCTATCATTTTAATACAGTAGATCTATCCTGAGGAATTAAAAGCTTGTGAAACTGCCTGACTTAATGAATAGGATCTCAAAGGATTAACAAGGTAGCCTCAAGAATGTTGCTTGTCCAAATCCTCTTGAGTCAGTAGAGGGAGCTAATATGATGCCCTGATAGGATTCAAAGCCTTGATCATTTTAGAAACATATACAGTACAGCAGAACAACACTCTGAAAGAACCAAGCAGAATTTGTAACAAAGATTTTAATAATGTCATTACCATTTGACATTTTTAAAAGGAATGCCACATTTCAATTTTTCACAAGTTAGAAAGCTTAAAATCTTTACTAAGATAAAATAAATCTTCCCACATTAACACGTGATAGTAATATGTTTTTATATGTGGGACATGGAATGTATCAACAGCGCAGGGCATTCAATCTGTTTTTAACCGGACTGCTTTTAAATTCCCCTTTTAAAGTATATATTCTCCCTGTAATGATATCTTTATTTTTTGCAAATAATTTTAGTAGAAAGGTGCTGGAATATTCTGGAATATATTAAGAAAAAGACCATAGGAGTTCAAGCACTTTCTTGTACGTTATAGTTAAAAAGATGTTTAATGTATCAGAGGCTAAGATACATGTGAATAGAAAAGTGAAACTCCAAATATTTTAAGTTCAGAAGCAAACTCAGCTACACTGAACATAAAATTTCATGCAGGAAAACACTGTTCTCAGGATAGTTCGGGAAATCATAGGCTAAGAATTTGGTATAGTTCAGCTGCTTGAGCATATTCTTGGGAAGTGACCGACTATAATTTAAAGCTGCTGTAATTTATCCTATTTTGTTCACTTTTGTCTGGATATACCCTTTAATTGCTTATTTGAAGATAAGAAAATCTAAACTTTAATTGCTGGTCAGCATTTTTATAGAAGATAAACCAATAAAATTAGTAAAGGAAAGTCTAATCTTAAATTTATTAGGTGATATAGGTAAAAGCAATAACCTTTGAAAAGGCATTTTGGCAACTGCAGTTGAATACACCTGGAGCACTTCAAATTAGGGAAAGCCCTTATCAGTGCATTTAAACCCCTGAAAAATCCATTTAAGATTATAGGAGATTATTATGCTCTCTATCAGCCACTGAGCACTTACATACCATTACCAACCCTAAATAAAAATAGTCTGCCTGCCTTTAAGTTCTTGGCCTCTTAGAGCGATTGCAATTTCTTCCAACAAGCTATAAAATTTGTTCTATGCGCAACATGGCAACAAGGAGGAAGAATAGACTATGCCACTACAGAATACAGGGGTATTGTGTAACATTCCAAGAGCAAACAAGCTTCTTGCAAGCAGAACACACGAAAGAGAAACATCTGAGTCTAGCCCAAGAATGGGGAGCTTGTGATCTACCAGATGTGACTGAACCTTAATTCTAAACATCATTAACTGTTTGGCTCTGCTGGATGGTAGTACCAATTCTAGCATTTAGCAACGTTTGGCAGGTCAGAGGCTCCCTTTTACTGGCCAAGCTATATACCAGCTTTCTGTTTATATGAAACCATTAAAAAATGCAATTATCACCTGGATTGCAGCATTTCTTCCTATTATATCTTTACACAAGGCCAGAGGTCACAAAGCACCATAGTACTTCAATCAAACCACAAAGGGAAACTGATTTTGCTGAAGATCACCCTTGGCATACCTTTTCCATTACAAGACGAGCAAGCTTTATTGGGTTAGAAATACATTTCACGGCTGATACTGCTCCTGAGGCTAGATTTTTCCCATCCATGATAATAGCATCCATTTCTACTTCACCCTTCTCATTTAACACAGAGCCACAACCTAGGAATCAAGTGGAAAAGATATTAATATACCAACATGAAGTTAAACAATGTTACACTATTTTAATTCATTTGTGGTTCAATACTCTTTAAATGACAACTTTTGCGATATTAAAATCCTTGCAGGAGTAATTAGTGTGAATCCTAACAATATATATAAAAATTCTGTACCTTTTCTGTTCATGATATATATCTCATCCCTCACATATCAGAATATCTACTACAAAGCTTGTTTTTTTTAAAAAAACTGAGGAAATTGGAATATATATGCTTTGTCAATAATATAAACAATAATGTCAATAAAAGTAACATTAATAAAAAACTATACTTAGTAAAAGTAATACTAATAAAAACTATATCTATGACCAAAATTTCATTCCCATTTAATGTTTTGCAGCTTGAAATTTAAAGCACCAAATGCCAAACATACTTGGCACAATCCTGAAGAATAGGGATTTTGTTTAAAACAAAATAATGTTTTAGGAGGTGTGGATTTTTAAGCATTCATTTAATTAGATATTGAAAATACCTTTTGTATAAATTTCCTTTAAAACTAATTGGAGGATATATCCTTGAACAGCATCCATCCTAGCAAGAAATTAGCAGGTAAGGAAATGAAGGGATGTGAAAGATAATCTCACCTTTTTGATTCCCACAATTGAGGCTGTTATTAAGGGCATACAAAAATGGAGTAAAAGAAAGAAAAAAGATGTCTGCTACAAAAAACTGGGCAGTAAGAATTTCAATTTGGAAAATTAAAAAGTTACCTGCATTAAAATGTGGATCATCTTCCATTAATACTACGGCTTCTTCAACTGCATCTAATGCAGTTCCTCCTTGTTTAAGGATACCGTAACCTTTCAATGCTGCTCTGATGACACCAGAACGACTTCCATCTTCCCGCTCTTTAAAGATGCGACCAGCTCCACCATGAACAACAATAACTGGCTTCATGCTGTTGAATGTTTTTCTGGTTAAAAGAATGTAATTATTCCTTGGAACTATATTTTCTTAAGGAGTGAATGTCAAAGTCCAATCTTATGCTCCTGAGTTCCAATAAACTTCCTTAGTTAATAATCACAGTGTAACATTTTTTAACAGGCTTATGGTCTTCGTTAATAGCTTAGAAGTGCTGTGCTCATACAAAGTTTGAAGTATGTCTTCTGAAAATTTTGAAGTATGTGCAAGCTGCATATATTTGAGGCATATATAATCCTAAAAACTATTTAGCAGATACCTGTTATTTTTTTTAAAAAAAATTACATTAGTTGATTTTTCAGTTAGACTAAAAGGCCTTAGTTTAATCAATGATTCTAATAAACTACTTCATCAGTATCCTAATTACTATTCCTATTAAAAGCATTAAAGTATGATGTGCACTCCATCATTCTTTTGTGTTTTATTATGTCAACGATCTATGAATAATCTGTATGATTGATCTCCTGGTTGAAACAGGAAGTGTTTCACAAATGTTTACATTTATCAAGAAAAGTGTACAATCCTAGGGTTGAGTTTACAAGCTGAACTAAACCACACCGTGGTCTGCAATTTACTATTCGGTGTAAACCCACTATTATGATTTAGTAGTACAAATAATCCATGATATGGCTTATACTGAACTATAATTTCAAAATCCTGGCTTAGCGTCATGTGTGAAGCTAATCAACACCTTACTTTTTATCTAGATTTATACAATTCAAATAGCATGAGATGCATCAATTGGTGAAAAAATCTTAATCAATTTTCACAACTTTCTAGGGCATGAGCCCTACCTTCTAGCTTAGAAAACTCTTTTCAGCAGTTCAGTATGGCTTCCATCAATGCAATTGATCGTATCTGTCAGTCTTTTATTGAAAATTCTAAGTGTGTATCTTTACAAAGCATCTTTAGATCTATTGGAGAGCTAGTCACGGACACAATAGTTAGAATGACAGGCTTAAAAATGGAAGCCTTCTTGTACCAAATTGTGACACAGGACAGAACCTGAAGAATACAGATGAGAATCACCATTGGGAAGGTGTTCATTTGAGATAGGGTGAGACATACAGATTTGTTTTTTAAAGGTAATTCCTATTCCTATTGAACAGCTGACTCTCAGGAGAAAGCAAAGAGTAACTATGTCTTACTCTATTTGCACTTTAAACCAGTCAATTATTTACCTCACATTTCTTTAATATTTTGAACTTGCTTTTTTGGCATTTCATTAAGAAGCCTAGCAAACTAATATTTTTAACAATATTTGTATTATGTAGTACTGTCTGCAAGGAACATGTTACTAATTATTTCTTAGAAGAGGTGTGAAAACCTGGCTCTTCACTCAGTGCTTTGGCAAAAGAGAATGAGAACCCTTACTTCACTGCATTTGCCATCTTTTATCTTTATTGTTTATGTTTCATTAATTTTATTGTACATTTGTAAGCCACTTAATGTCATTTAGAGTCAGGCAGCATATAAGTTTAAGTAATAATAATAATAAGATCTGGAAATAGAAGTTGAAGCTTCTTATTGCAAAAGTATTAACAACAATAATAGGGCCTTGGGTGCAATCCCAAAACATCTGGAGCACCATTTGAACGCCATCAGCATTGACAAAATCTCCATCAGTTAATTGACAAAGGCAGCTTTATTTGGAACAGCTTATATCCTGCCACCATATCATTACAACAACTTCTGCCCATCCCAGGTTTTGGGGAAGGATTCGATGGATGGATTAAAACTGCCAAATCCAGTCTGAACATCTGGATGACTGTGCAACCAACCATAATAAAAATGCTTCAAGTATGCTACCTGTTTTTTGTGCAGCAGCTGACCAGTAAAATCCAGAGAAATCACATTACTAAGGAATCATCACATATCTCGGAATGAAAATCTCCTCCCAACTGAATTCTGCCAATGAAAATTGATTTCAGCACTGACAGCCAGCTTTTGCTGAGCAATTAAATAACAACCGCTCATCAACACTGTATTGCATACAAAATCATATGCCATCAAGGCAGTATATCCTTTTGATGACTAGCTAACTTGCAGAAACAGTCGAATGTAAACACCTACCAGAAATTAGCTTGCTAAGAAACAAAACCACGCTTGATCTGAAAACTTTGCTACAGATGCCACAAGATCCAGAATTCTGCTTCTCCCTGAGCAGTAAGCAACACAGGTAGGGGCTAGAAAAAGGCATACAGTGTCCCAGAGGCAAATATGAAGCCTCTTAATTCTCTTCCCCATCTCCCCGAATTGGGTATGTCTCTTTTATGAACCCTGATCGGCCAGAAACCAATCCCTGTTAATATAACCTTCTCATCCTCCGAGAGCCGCGTTTAAACAACCGGCGAAAAGCTTCCCCCCGCCCCCGGGAGTTACGAAAAGGGAGGGAAACCACTCTCGTTCATTCACTTACTACCTTGGTAAAAGACAGATTTACTCACAGGTAACTGGATTTCTTCAGCTGCTCCCAATGCCTCCAACTTAAACGCTTTTAAAGAGTGTGCGCGAAATGGGCAACGAGGAAGTAACGCTGGCTCCTCTGACAGGCGTATCTGTTTCGAAAGCAAGAAAAAAACCCGCCTCGGTCAGCTCATCTCACCGACCTTTGCCTTTAAGAAAACAGCCGTCTTTTGAGCTGTCAATGGATGCGAAGCAAAGCTGCCCTCAACTCCAATGGCCGCTGCTCCCTTCCAGGTGGGCATTCGCCCCTCGCTAAAATGGCTGACTGAAGTGCTTGTTTCAACGGGGCTGAGGCTAAATAGCTGCCCGTTGCAAAGATGGAGGTTGCTTGGTATCGCTGCGCAGAAAGGCGCCTTTTGCGCCGGCACGCGGTTTCCTTTTCTCGGGCTTGGTGAAACAGCCTGGGGGGCGAAGGTTGCGAGGACGGTGAAGGGGACAGGGAAGACGAAGAGAAGGAAGCAACTAAGGATAATGTAACCCAAGTAACGCAATGGATTTTCAAAGCCGATCTGTCAAACACTTTTGATGAACCGGTTGTGGCAATAGGTGTCCTGTTATATCAAAATAATTCATTGGTGTTTATCTTTCCTATATTTTAATTTTCCTCTTTTTGTTTTAGAATGTCTGGTTAGTCCACTGTTAAAAGGAGCATGTTTATTTATCTGTCAAATATGCCACCTGACACCCAATAATTTCAGTTCTGGAGCATCAATTAACACAGGAATACTTATTTAATAGATTGACATCCCACGTTTATTTTGTATACCTAATTGTTCCTGCCTCCTCTTCCCCCACAACAACCCTGTGAGCAAGGTTAGTTGAGACAGAGAGTCTGGCTCAAAGTCACCCAGTTGGCTTTCAGACTTAAGGCAGGACTAGAACTCTGTGTCCTGGTTCTAATTCAGCAGCTTAATCACTGCATCAAACTGGTTCCATGGAAATATGACTGCAATTGCACCAGCTGTACTATATGTTATTCACACAACATTCTCAGCAAACCATGTCTTATTAAATAAGCAGCTTGATTTATTTAAATAGTATAATAAATCAGGATTTTACAAACCATGATGGCTGGATTCGTACAATCTACTAAGCCAAATGAGCAGACCACAATTGGCCCAGAAGTTGGATTGAAACTCAATTGAAAAGACAGTAACTTACTCCTGTGTAGGGTTCAATCATTTTGATGAAAAGCAATGTTTCCATCCATAACCAGTTATATTTTCACTTCTCTAATACTTTTTATTAGGGATACCATCTAGGCTGTAAAAATCCTAGGAAAAACTACATTAGTTGCAAGGAGAATTTTGAGTAATTTGTGATTGCCATTTAGTGGTTATCAGCATTCCAGATATTTTATTTATTAAATTTATATGCCACCCATCTCACTATCCAAAAGGACTATAGTGCTTTTAGCACTAATGTGATGGCCCAGTACAAGAACTCCTTTTTTCAGCAAAAATTATTAGGAATGTGTGAAGCAGACATCATGGACATCACACAGTTGGGTAATTGAGATGTGGAGCTGATTTATGTTGCAGGTGTAAACTACAAATTAGTCAAAGTATTATTATGCACCATCCATAGTCACCTTTGGTGAGATGGGCAGCTATGTCAATTTGATAAATAAAACGTCTAAATCTAAAGTGGGATTTACAGACATTGGAATTTGGTATTTTTGGCAAGCCTTGATTTTAAATTCTGATTTCTGTAAACATAAAGATAGTCACTCCAGGTTAAGATTACACAATAATTCTAAGATGCATGCCAAAGTACCCATTTGTTATCTAGACTTTTTGGCTTATGATGTTATACAGAGTCTTAGATAATTGGTAGAGATATTCTCTATGGTAGAGGAATTCTCTTGGATGACCCATTTTTAGAGTATTTTTGTTTTGTAAGAAACAATGCAAAATGTCATCCTGTTGCTTTGTTTTGAATTTTCAGCAATGCAAACATGTATAATACTTCTAATACAGATACACATACAGATATGGATGATGAAATTTCAAATAACTAAACTAGTTTTCCCTAGTACACAGTAGTGTCTTCATTTGGACTGAACTTCGTCTGCTGTAAGCTTTCAATTAGCATGGCAAATCTACGCTATCTGCAGAAATTGAAGTCTATCTACAGACAGAAATTATGGGAAATCCAAATCTAACAACATGGAAAGAATCCAATTTTAGATACATGTGGAAATGTGTTTATAGAAACCTTCAAATATACATGCTTCACTTTCCTCCTTTCCTAACATTTAATATGCATGTTAATATAAATATACCCATAAATTATTACATTATTATTTTATTAAATTATCAATTACTTTCCTACTCTGAGCCTGAAATCATAGTATCTTGTAGAATATAGCATGGAGGCCTGTAATGAAAAAGGATTGTCTTCCGTAACATTTATGCTTTCTAGAGTATTCCAGTTACTAACATGTCATTGAACAGTTTTCAAGTTCCAATATTTCTTTCCAAGAGGAACATTTGTCAGTATCATTTACAATATATCGCAATGTTAAATTATATTAATATTCATAGATGATTTCTGTTGGGACATAATTATACAGGAAAATAAGAGAAAATGCATGTGTTCTAAACAGTTTATAGTGTCTTTAACTATAGATATGGTGATATTTCGTATACAATATTGAATATGCCCCAGTAACCAATTCTCTGTTTACACTAAAAGAAATTTAGCTGCTGGTACAGTGGAATATATATCAGCTGATGTTGAACTTCTTAAGAAGAGTTGTGCTGGTCTGACTAAATGACTGCCAAATTCAATATTTCATTCCCTGTAGTAGTAAATCGGATGACTACAAGAATGCCTCGAGCAATGCATATAGCATCATGTTACCCAACAACTCATAACTTACATTTACAACACTTCTTATATTGAAGGGAACAGCAATCATCTCCACCATTATGCTCTTAGTTGGTAGCTCCATCATGTTTGCTTTGGATCTTCCTCAAAAGAGTAGGACATGAGCTTGCTTATTTTCCTGCAGACCTTTCATTACCCAAGCTAGGTAACATCAGTGCTAGTAAGGAGTGAAGTTTACTTTCAGTTTATATTCTAGTCTAGTGACTCGCTCTTTCATTGTTGGTGGGGGTAGTCTTAGAGATTCTTTAGTTGGTCTGTTTGCTGTTGGCTTCTTTGGCAGTTTCTTGATTGGAATATATATTTGGCAGTTTACTTGATTGTTAGTCTATTGTTAACTCTGAAGTTAATCTATGCTGATCTGATTGCTGATTGCTGGTGGAGAGGTGCTTGGGTCTTTTTGATCCTTTTTGGGCTGGGTGATAGTTTCTTTTGCAGAGTCTATAGATGTTAATGTCTATGTGTCTTTTGATGGCTGATTTGTCAGAGTGCCAGGCTTCTAGAAATTCCCTGGCATTTTTGGACTTGGCTTGGTCTAGGATGGCCACATTTTCCCAATTGGTTGGTCTAATTTTTAGTGGTTCAGGGTTTACATATCTGCCTCTTCTCTTCTAATCCCTATAACTCAACGGAGCAAAACAGGATCCCATATCTTATTTGCTGTTGTTGTGCCTTCAAGTCAGTCTTGACTATTGATGACTTCCCGGACAAGTCCCTGCAGTTTTCTTGGTGAGATTTTGGGTTTGCTATAGTCTCCTTCTTAATGCTGAGAGAAAGTGACTGGCCCAAAGTCACCCAGCTGGCTTTGTGTTTAAGGTGGCACTAGAATTCACAGTCTCCCAGCTTCTAGCCTGATGTTTAACCACTAGACCAAACTGGTTCTCATTTCCCACAAGGGCTTAGGATACAACGTGAACCTAGCTGTGAATCAGAGGTATTGCTGTACAGGCCAACATTCTAGAGTTTTCTTGAATTCTAATGGGATTCAGAGTGAAATAGATACTTTGTATCTCTTTCTCTGTTACATAAGATGTAATGGTGTTAAAGCAGCGGTCTCCAACTTTTCTGGTTTTGCAGACTGGCGAGGGGGAGAGGAGATGGTTCCATATGAGCAGTGGCCGAGCACGTGCACAGTTCCATTTGCACAAGTGGAGGGCACACACGCACACCGGTCATACAAATGGAACTGTGTGTCTAAGTGGATTTGCGCGCTTGACGGTGCTCAGCCGCTGTTTCTGTGGCCCAATTCTAAACAGGCCACAACCTGGTAGTGGCTTGGGGGATGGGACCTCTGTGTTAAAGAAAATATTTAAGAAAGAACTTTTAATTCTGGAAGCTGGCTTTCATTTTTCTTTCACTGAATGAAAAAAATGAATAGATTTGATTAGTTCAGAATTCTGCATAAAACCAGAATAATTTATTTTCTTCTTTGTTTGTGTGTGTGTATATATGAGTATGTGTGTGTTTGTGTGTATGTATATGTGTATATATCCCATCTTTATTGTTTTTACAAATAACTCAAGGTAGCAAGCATATCCGACATAAACTTCCTCCTCCTTCTCTTTTCCCCACAACCCTGTGAAGTCAGCTGGATTGAAAAAGAGTTAGTGGCCCAAAGTCACCCACCTGGCTTTCATGGCTAAGGCAGGACTAGGACTCTCAGCCCTCTGCTTTCTACCCTAGTACCTTAATCCCTAGAACAAACTGGCTTTATAATCTATGAACTCCCTTTTTGCGAACATGTGATCCCTTAATTTGGGGTAGAGTCGAGGCAACTGCATAGAGTTGAGCATTTACTGGTCGGGTGCCCTTCCTGATGCCATGCGGAATTTGTAGCAGATGAGTTTTGGTTGTTGTTGTTGTTTTGCACTCTTGGAGAGAAACATCTGCTACAATTTAGGATTGAACTATCAACCTTCCAAGTGGGAGGTGAGCATCTTTACCACTAGGCCACCACACCGCTCTTTTATTTCACTTTGATATACATAGATATTTCATGCGCTTATCTACGTCTTTTTTGTAATATTTTTCCATCAACGGAAGACTACTTTTTCCTGAGTCACTAGAATGACTCATTCTTCTCCAGCCTTAGGATCTCAAGATGTGTTGAATTACAAGTTCCCAGATTGGACCGAATCTCTGCTCACATTGGCTAAGGAATTATGGAAATTACTGTCTAACACAGGGGTCTTCAAACTTGGCTCTTTTATGACTTGTGGACTTCAACTCCCAAAATTTCTCAGCCAGCATGCCTGGCTGAGGAATTCTGGAAGTTGAAGTCCGCAAATCATAAAAGGGCCAAGTTTGAAGACCCCTGTCTAACACATTTAGAAGCTGCAAGTCAGAGAAT